TCATATGTCTTTATCACCGTCAGCCTCATAGGGGGACGGATGAGATGGGCACAAGCAGTGTTACAATTCCTCAATTCCTTTTTCATAGTCCGTTCTCAACGAGTTCCTATAAACAAAACTGTGAACGTAGATAAGAGATCTAGCTAAGACAATCGCCACAGGCGAATAAATCATCTTAGCCCAATTTGCTTGAAAGGGATAAGGGAACCAAGACCCGATCACTGGCGTTTGAACCGAGGCGAAGATACCCCCAACTGTGTGCAAACAGAAGAGCTGTCGTTCGCGTATTCGTTCGTATTTCGAAATATGTGAACCAGCTGTCAGAATGTAATTGAGGTAAAGTATACTCGAAAGGAGAAATTTATTAATCCCCTCCACAATGAGAAACTCAATCAACTTAATTGATGCGATGCAATCGCCATGGTTACAGTGATGATGATAGTGGTGATGGTGGTGGTGGTAGCGGTAGATTTGAAGCTTGAATCCTGTGAAAACTAGAAAAGCCAAATCACAAGTGAACATAATCACTTGCAGGAGTTGGCACATTGAAACGAAAGGAGAATAATAATTTAGAAAAGATAAAATCACAATTCGATCAAGGTAAAAGATACTTAATGGTAGTTCTATAATAACAGTGTACTGCTCTACACTACCCTCATTTTGTTGAAAGTTACCAAAATTCACTGCATGAAGTGTGATACGTTTCCCTAGAAATGATCTTCCCTCTGAGATAGTGAAAAATAAATATATATTATTTTGTTGTAGCAGTAGTTCGTAGTTAGTACGTAAAGAGAATTTAAATTATTTCAACGGATAGTCTGAGAGTACTTTATAATTATCTGAAGTTTGTGATCTGAAATGGACCATGTGTTCTAAAGGTGGCACATTTTCCAGCTCATTCAAAGTTTTCATGCATAAATAAATCCAAAGTTTAAGAGTAAATCAGATTGCTAGGTAAACAGACACAGCAGAATGGTGCACAATTTAATAATGGACACCAGGTGACTGAAGTCTGTAGGCTAAAGAGGATAGTAACTAAGATGGTGGATTGGAGTACGAATTGCTCGAATACGAATTATCTCAAATCAAGCATGCGCAACTCACAACTCATATGTAATCTTTGTGTGGTCAGCTTTGGGGAATCACAGCGACAGATTTTAGTAATTCATTATTGTCACATCATCGATCGAGTGCAGTGTTATCACTGACGAATTATGGAGTGATAAAATCAGTGGTATGCTAAATTTACTGATGCAAATTTTGCGTCATATTACTGGTAGCTGGGAATAATTAGTGACTGACTATGCTAAACGGTATCATTTTATTTGCAACCAATCACTGGGAGTAATAAATAAGTTTATTTTGAGAAGGTTTTCCTGCACACAATCGCAGTCTAAAACTAATAACAATGAACAAGTTTTTGACACAAAGCTTTTCTAAGTAAGATTGGTAAAAAAACATATTTGAAATATAGTAGAATTCATTCCGAAATACCAGTTCAATGAACAGTACCCCAGTCAGTTTATCTTGCAGACTTTGTATAACATTTAGATAGTGGCACTTCGGATCAACGGTATGCTTTATATAACACGAATAACAAGGATTTGTAATATCAGGAGGTTTCCGTACTGAAAGTGTATGTTATGGATCACGCATAGTAGCCAGCTGTTTCTATCTTGTCAGGTTTCGCTAGTAGTTCTTATTGTTTGTGGCCTCCAACGATTATATCCTAGGCTACGAAATTTTCCAATACACTATCTCTCGTCGGTTACCAACTGATATAGTACTATTATTCAATGAATAACTCAACTGTTTGTGCAACAGTTACGTAAAAGTGGATAGTGATAAGCATAGATAGTAACTTGGTGACAGGGACCTGTGACATTCAGAAACTATTATTACCATAGTATCTGAGCGAGCTCAATAGTTACAGGAATTAGAAATCAGGGCACGGAAGCGCGATTTCAGAAAGGGGAGGTGGCTGACCAGATCACTGAAAACACGAACTACCGATCTCTTGTGACTAACGTAACAGAAGTAATTACAGAAGCTTATGTCTTTTTTCGTTTCCTCTTTCTTTTCCATTTTTAATTCCCTTTATTGAATACCAAATGGTACAATTTTCAGGCATGAAGAGGCTTCCATGGAGCCCATGATTGATAAAGTCTGGCGGTGGTGGTGGGATTCGAACACACATCCTCTCAAGTGATAATTTGGTGGCCTTTACCACTGGGTCACCACTATTAAAAGTTTATTATCACAGTGTTCTTTTCCATTGTGTTCCGTAAAATAAGGGGCTGAGTAAAATAATTTCAACTTTATGTTCATTATTATTGTTGATATAATTAGTAGTAAGAACATTGGAAGTGCGTGGTAACTGAGAAAGCGGGCTTATCGGTTGCAGAAGTCGACACGGCTCGTCTCTGCGAAGGTGAACAATCTTACTATNTTCATGTGTCTTCTCAATGGAATGTTGCAGTGAATTTGATTCTGTTAGCAGTTTTAGTTCAACTGAGGCTGCCTTCTTTGTCTTTTGGATAACCAAATATATCTCAAAGTCAAAGTTTTATTTTGAGAATAACTTACAAGCTCGTGTTTCTCTTGTCCCATGGGATATTTACACAGATGAATCTTTACACGTCGAAAAAGGAGTCACATTGAGNAAATAATAGAAAATGTAGGCTTCAGTGAATTTGCGTTTGCTTTTAGTGGTGTAGGAATGTGAGGTGTACCAAGGTTTCGTCGAGTCTATGCTTGAAAGATTCAATAGTAATTGCACAAACGACATGAGATGGAAGGGCATTCTAAGTACTGCATACTCTGACTGCAAAAGACTGGCGCCGACATTCTAGACGGCACTTGGGAATCAGTAGTTTGAAACGGTATCCCCTTAGGTGTACATTTTTCGATAACATGAGCAACGATCGACACGGATGGTTTGGGCTCTGCAGTATTTGAAACGTCAAAATCAAGTCTGCTCGAGTTCGGCGGTACTGAGCAGAATATAGTCCCAATGACCGCACTCTCTCCTCGTGTCAGGTAATGTAATCCTTTGAACAGCTTGATGGCCATCCTTTGTGGACGCTTAAGCATCTTGCGATCATGTTGAAGCCATGGACTCCAAGCTTGGATAGCGTACTCTGTGTCGGGCCGAATGTACGCTAAGAGCAAACGTGGGAATAGTGATGATTCAAACCGGCCAAAGACTCGACGAAGTAAGCCAACATTTTTCACTGCAGCAGACGAAGCCTTAGCACAGTTGTTGAAGCAGCTTAAATCCTCTTAAACAACAATACCTAAGTCCTTTTCTCTAGAATTATGTGGTAGCTACTGGTCCCCGAGAAAATAAGAGAATTTCCGCTTGTGGCGCAGGGATAGAACTTTGCATTTAGAAACATTAAATTCAATGTCGTTCTCCTTAGATCATTGATCAGCTGCGCTTAGTGATTCCTGAAATGTTAGAGAGCCCTCTGGTTCCTTCACCGTGTTCCAGATTTTGGTGTCGTTTGCAAACACTATTATTTCTGAGCCCAACACTTTGGGTAGATCATTTATGAACAGCCGGGGACGGAGTACAGAGCCTTGTGGCATACCGCGGATGGTTTTGATAGACCCGGATTGGGAATCAGAAACACGAACTGATATTGTTCGTTGTTCGAGGATGCATTAATCCACTCAAATGCGAAATCTCGAACGCCATAATTGTAGAGCCTCTGCAGCAAAATTTTGTGATTCACTCGATCTGGGTGTCTATGATAGCTCACCATATTTCAATGAGAATAGGGTCATTTTGTCTTATAAAAGATGCATTTACTATCGATGCGACTATCACTTATTTAATTTATCCCAACGTGGAACACGAAGAGAAAAATGCGCTGTTATAATCCTGTGGTGAATGACTAACGCTGAATAGTGAAATTTGTTCTTGGTTATCTGTGGTTGAGCCACGTGAGTGCATGTATCCACCGTACATCCAAAGTGGAAGCAGCAGTTCTTCCGAGCCATGTACCAATCGGGCTAGGGATGTGTTCGCTTCAGGAATTAGTGGTATCATTCTCTGAAATTATCATTAGTTTTGTAGCACAATTGATTGTTCCAAACACTGACTGAACCGTTATTTTGTATTTACAAATTTTTTTCTCACTATAGTGACAAATAAAATCAGTTATCTTCAACAAAGGTCATCTAACACACTGTGAGTTAATATCAAGGAAACGGCATCGTCTTGTCAGAAATCTCGAATAATAAGGTAAAATGAAGCCGTTCTAATGTCACTACCCAAACATCACAACCTTACGATGCAGCCTCATGAAGATACAGAGGTAGTCCACATTTTGTGAGTTCATCTTTGTCCAAATATCCGCTAATAACAGAATCCAATCTAATTAAAACAAATAGTATCTGCCATGAATGTGTGGCTTTCCATATTACTGGTTAGGCTCGATTGAATTCACACCAGGCGACGAGCATCACAACCTTATGACGAAACCTCACGAAGATACAGAGGCAGTCCCCCTTCCGAATTTTTCATTCAATTTTTATAAACGGCTAATATTATATTAAAGGTTTAAATTCCAACTGATGAAATTTTTCCGTACACAGAGAGCAAAGGAAAGATGAGCTGAAAAGCTCAGATTAGCTTGGGGATGTAAGAGCAACGGGCTTGCAAAGATGGTTGTACCATATAGTGTGCAGAAACAGTGATCAAACAGTTTTCTCGAGTTCCTTCTGTGAGATACCGGGCTCGATCCACATTTGTGTCGATAGATTTGCACTGCTCATGCAGAAAGGTTAAAACAGTTGCACACTAGTTGTGAACTTCTCAAATCACATATCCTGTACTCTCTTCACGAAGAAATTCACCGACTACTGTATTCTACTGTACCAAACAGCTCTAATACATGCGTACAGATTTTCGGTTACTGAGAAAAGTTTTCTTTAGGCATTACCTATCTCCACGAAGGTATTCCGATTATACAGAACTGGTATCTTCAACCCTGATGGGTCGAAAGGTGAGCCTCCACCAGGGCCAAAGGATTCGTGGTCACACTGATTTCGGCGCTAAATAGATGAAAGAAAACTTGGATCACTTCCGTATTATAAACTCTCATTAAAACTAAATTTCCACGATGACGTAAATGTGGGTTTTTCAATAGGTCACAAAATCTCGGAACCGTGAACCTCAAGTTCAATGCTTAGGCATACATTCCTTCAATCGCGGCATTGCTCAATGAAACCATCTTTCTGATTCATTGTAAATTTCATTATTGAAGGATACTAATACTTGATCTGAAAACTATCCTCCCAAGACTGTGCTCCACACACCTGTCCCACACCGTTCCGAAGAGATTTAACGAATCTCGATCCGAATCCCATCCTACCGAAGTTCACCACTTACAGCGTTCGGCTCTCTCTCTCTCTCCAACGGTTTACCGCAGGTAGTAATGTAAAACTGCCTCCTATAATCCAAAAAACTTGAAATTTCAATGAGGGATCAGTGCTAAAGCGTTGGCTGATCAGGTCGTTTTCGAAGAATACTAACACATCAGGATCGTGCAGGTAAGCCATCCGAAATGGATCAAAGTAACCGTTATGGCGACCTGCTGGTTAAAATCGTGAAGCGCATTGGCTTACAACTGCAACAATCAGCTCACATCGAATCATTTTTGTTCAATCAAGAAATACGAACGGAGATGCAGTCTGCTATATAATGTATCTCTAAGCCTTAAGTTGAGTCAAGTAACCGCTTTATGCAAGTCAAAGCCTCTCGAAAATGAACCCTTTCAAACATGTTTGGTTTTAAATCTGTGAGAAATAAAGGGATAAAACGGTTTCCGTTTTGGTTATGGCACACACACAGACTATGGGCATGTTCATAACCCCGCTAGGTTTGTATGCAAATGTCTTAACAGAGAGACTATAGTTACCTCGGCGCTGATTTAGCGAGCAACCTAGATTTCCAATTGAGTACGAGAATTTATGGCGTGCATATTTCTACGGCCACGAATCCGAGTCAATGAGGAATCATGGCCGATAAAATGTATTCACCAAGTATGTGAGGGAGACAGAGAGCAATGGTACATTTGTAAATCTCTCACACTTGGTCATGAAAACCACAACGTTCAGTTTAGGCCTATTAATCGGCCCAATACAACTCCCGAGGAACTTAATTCCGGATTGGAAAAACCTAAATTTCGACCAAAAGCCTATTACGACCTCTAAACAAGTGCCAGGCGACGCTGCGTAACCAAGCCGAATTAGATCATTGACAAAAGTCGATGGTCTACCCATACAATACGGTAAGTCACCTTTTGTAAGTGACTCAATTTATATTATTGATCAACGAATGAGCAAATAACCACTTGGTTGCATTGTTGATGCGCTTTGCACCTCTACAATAAGCCATGCATTAATCACCACTGATTCCGTTCGAGTAAATCGGCATGAATCAACTGGTCTTCTTTGCCTTTTTTCCCCGTTCTCATTTTGTCACAATCTAGGTGATTTCCGAATTGGAGCGATTTACCGAACGCATCGAAGCGATCGCAATGGATGTGCTCAATCTGGTCTCTCTGAAAGACAATACACCGGAGAAAATGATCTGTCGTGAAATGCTCACTGTTCCATTACGAACATTTGGCGATTTATCCCTGATCGACCTATTTGCAAGAGCAAAGTGTAACGATTTGCTCAGTTTGCCGTGTTGTCAACGTGTACTGGACGAACGATGGCACGGGGTTCTGATACACTTACCCAACTGGGCTCGTTGGTCGTCCCGCCTGATTCCTCTGGCCGGGGTGATTTATTTAGACTACAAAGCACGAAATGAACTAGCCGCACCGACTCCTGGGGGATGCACGGGAAATAGGAGCATCAAGACTCAAGCGACAGGACGGAGAACCAGCTCCATTGTTGTGGAAAAGATGGGAACACTCGGTGGAATGAGCAGTACTCCACCATCCAGCTGTTCAGTGCCCCTACTCGCTAAAAGGATCTCCCGTTTCCCATCACTAGGACAACCACAGCGACCGAACCACGGAAGAGCACGTTCGTCAGACGAACAAAGTGTACAAACTATGTCCATGATACAAACCCCAGAACCCATTACCACCATCTATGACCGCGTGGTGGGTCGTGACGGGTGGCACTCCTCACCACGTTGGTATTTCATCACCGGCGTTTATCGGTCTCCGTCCATGAAATTTTGCCTTCATTCCTTGTTCCACTTACTATTCTTATTCTTCTTCTCTGTCGTCTGTGTTTACAGCTTGCACACACACTTGACTATACCAGAACTGGTCGCATTAAGCTATGTGGCTGGGTACGCAGTCGAGGAGTTCCGTCAAATTTTACTCGAAGGTTTACGGGACGGGTTAAGAGAATATTGGAAAGATGGATGGAATTGGATTGATTTACTGGCTATCGCATTGACCGGTGTGGGCTTTTGTATTCGAATGGGTGCAAGCAAGACCTACGAGTCCAAATACCAAGAAGCTCACGACACNTGCGCACTCTGTACATCACCTCGATTTCACAGACTATCGGCCCGCGGTTGAAAATGATGGGTGATATGCTTCGAAAGGATTTAGTTCCTCTGTTAATTGTATTTTTCATTTTTATCTTTTCTTACGGTGTCTGGTTCCAAGGTCTTATCTATCCGAATAGCTTCTATGAGACACCGGCTCAAAGAAGCAATGCGAAGCGCAGAGGCTATCTAAAACATGAAGATCAGCAACGCCTAAATATGGTCCAATCATTTGGTGAACTATTCAGACGTGCCTTCTATAGCATTTTTGAGGTGAGTATTGTTCTGGATGAGGAAACGTGTGAGGGAAACGTTTATTGCGGCAGTGATACTGGATTCCGTGCTGTGATTTATTTTGTTCTGGTCTTATACACCGGCATAGTGAACATCATTTTGATCAACCTGCTCATCGCGTTGTTCAGTAACACCGTGTCACGCATCGATCAAAAAGCCACCTCACTCTGGCTCGCTGGTCGATACAAAATGGTTAAAGAGTACAGTGAAAGAACTGTTCTACCACCTCCGCTTAACATCTTCTGTGTCCTGTACGAGGTGGCTCATTGTCTCCATTATTATTGTCATCGATGGGCTCGTAAACAACGTCGCGTGCACAAACAGCACAAACCGTATCCACCCATACGAGAGCAACACGACTCGGACTCATCGGACACGGAACAAGGCATAAGTTCCGCGGAGAAACGCAGAAAACAGCGTGAATCCAAAGCGATCCGGGTACGTTTACGCAATACGCGATATTTGCAAGAAGTAATGGGCAGTCGAAGTTTAACCGGTTCAGATAAGTGGGAACTGGATGCGGTGCTCAAATTCATTCTATTGCAAAGTTTCGCTCTGCAAGATCGCCGCCAGACACTGGGCAATGGGAATAACTTAAGTGGACCTCTCTCTATGATGTCCATCACACCGATGCATCAAGAACCGGGGGAGCCGGGCCGATATCATGAAATCGCTCGATCGTTCACTCATGTGCAACAACGTTTGGATCAGATGGAATTATTGCTCAACCGAGTGATGGATCGTCTGGAAGATATGTCCGAACGAAAAACATTACGAACCACCTACACCAGCAGTCCCACACGTTCACCGATTCGTCTGAGAATGCCACAAGTACAACTAACACGGACATCTTCAAACGCCTCCCAGGAACCGATTCAAATCCCTACTTCGAAGGAAATATTTGAAGCTTTGGAAAGAGAGAGGAGGGCACCACCGAAACCCAGTCTGTTAGCTGTTACCGGAACGGATGAATGTCTCGATCAATGGTCTTCCCTCCCACGACAAACGAAAAAGAGTCGTTCACTGAGCTTTAAAGAATAAGAGCGAATTGGTGGAATGCCATTGCGTACAAACAGTAAATTGTTTTTTTTGAAAAACAATCGGACAACAAGAACAGAAAATCAAGAGAAAATATGAGCAACCACAGATTGCATGCCTCATTTGGTAGCCAAAGATTTCTATTATAAATGGGCTGATATTTACAGCCATGCTCGAAGTACATACTAGACCGTTTTAAATCGTGTGCTCAAGCACGGAATTTATTTTGTGCCTGCAGATTATGTATGTACAAACACACACACACACACACTATTTCATCACAGGATGGCTTCAACTGCAAACACCTCGCTTCGCTTCGCTACACACACAACTCTGACGTTCATATGTAAATACGAATGAATTACGTACGTAAATTTTCGGTTGACTGTTACAATATCAGCGGCAAACACGCTACTTGACAATTGAATGAATAATCACAGTGAGACAACTAGGTACAAATAGAACAAAGACACCGAAAGGTCGGTAGGTGATAAGAAGCAGTTGCCCGTAGTCATGACTTGCGCGCCCCACTCTCACACACAATCATGCATACAACATGCAAATCTCGTATCACGACAGCAAAAATAGTGTTGAACTATGTGACTCATTGTGCATGGTTTTTTGGGATTTATTTCGTTTGAGTATATTGAATGTGAATAGAGCATTATTAGATGAACGTATTTGTTCTATTTCTTCATTTCTGAGAGAGAAACAAGACGAACAAAGCTTGTAAGATAACAGAGTCCCTCATCGTTAACTCAAATAACGAAACAAATAAAATGTTAAGGTTTTCATGAGAACACTAAAAAAATCCGCTGTACCCTGATATAATTAGTCTCAATAGCGTGCTGGAAGCAGTTTTCACGAGTGGCTACACCCGAATTCTCTGAGGCTATCCGTAGATGATATATATATATATATATATATCACAAACATGAAAATTTCATATCACGATGATCAATAATAACACACGTTGAGGCGTTTCACTTAATATAAGCCTCTTTGTTAAATCTTCGAAACAGCACAGTGAGACGATGATGATCATGTGAATTCAGCTTTGAAAATAAAATCCGACAGACGTAACAAGCTGTTTTCGATAAATTCATCAACTGGTCATTTATATTTATATAGGTAAAGCATTTAATCCTGTGCGAGGTGAATTTTATTATTCTATGTACAAAGCGATGCCACGTGCGTCAATAATCTGATTGAGCCTCCCCTTGGTTACGATGTTCTTCCAGTTACCACGCTCGCATCTGCTGATCGCTTGGAGACTGGCCATGGTAGAGAAACGCTTCTGATGGCATACGGCGGAGTTAAGCAGTTTGATCGCAATAGCTTCAGCCGTCCATAGAAGGATAAACCGTACGGATTTAGATGATAAGGGTGGAATACGATAAGCGGTCCTGAACGCTAGACTTACGTCCACTTGATGGTTACTTTCGAGTAGGTGTTGGCACCTCGCGCTTCTCGCTGTCCTCGTTTCTCTGTGTGCTCATTATCAAGGGTGATGTTCCTTTATTCTCTTTGACAATTGTCTTGTCGTCCGCAGGAGTAAGTGAACAAATAGATGCTCATGGATATGGCCTGAGGGGATGGTTTATCTTTGAGATAGAAAATAATTACTAGTGATATGAAAAAACTGATGCGTAGTGCTGCCGTAGTGAATGTTCTCCTTAGCGTTTGGTTTACTGCTTGTGTGACCCAATCAGCCGCCTTGTCGCTCTTGTACGGTAATTGCAGGTACAGGCGTTTTCTGCTTACTGTACTCACTTCTGGTTTCTCCGTTGTTTCTGTTAGGTATTTGTCAAGGAAGCAATCCGGATAGCAATTCTCTCGTAATGTGTTTCTTATTTGCTTCATTTCGTCGATTGGGGTGTCCGGAGTGCAGATTCTCCGTGCTCGTCTCGCTAGACAGTGAAACAAGTTTCGTTTTTGTTTAACTGGTGTGAAACTATTGAAATCAATGTATTGTCTTGTTCAAGTTGCTTTCCTGTGGACGTTCCAGCGGCTAGATTCATCTGGGTTTCAACGGATAAATACATCCAGAAACGGGATGCAGTTGTTCGTTTCTTTTTCGATAGTAAAGCCTACGGATCGGTGAGGATTGTTAAATGATGTCAGTATTCCATATGCTGAATTCCGTTTCTCGATTAAAGGAGAATGAATAAGAGGAAATTAAGGGAGACTTCCGTGGCTCAAATTTGGGGACGCGCAACCGCTTGCTTAATAATAGTACGCGCTGGGTTACAACAAAATGTTTCCTCTAATTGTATTTGCGGTTCAGGGCACTAGACAGACAACACTGGAATACGACCAAACCGAGTGGATAACAAGAAAAGAATTCAAACGATCATATAGACAGAATATTCGAAATGAAAGATAAGGAAATTGACCCATATACAAAACGATGGAGAGTTGAAGGGAATCAGGACAATACGGTGAGGACTGCTTCGATCTGTGACACAGCGTGCGAACCACTACGTACTTCAGACAGTTTCACTTCACAAAACGATCCGGGGGGACAAGAGGTCGCGTCTGTGGAACATATGTCCATCGGCTCCACAGAAGACAATTGACCTAGTTCCATTTGCTTCGGAGTGAGTTGCGTGAGGAACAAACGTAGACCCATCGCCACACTGGCCCGAATACATGCCAGACTGAAAGTGGGAACAGAGAAGGCGTGAATAGAATCAAGACCAGTAACGTTCGGGGTCATGCGCTGCTTTACAGACATTCCACTAGATAAAGGATTATTCCTCCGAAGGAATACGAATATTGGGCAAGACATTTCGGAAGAAGGAATTATTCAATCATATCAAACTTCGGTAAACAGCAACATTGGAAACGTAAACGATAAATCTGTAGGGCTGAATCTGCAGGATGAACAGAATAGTACTCACTGCGATCCCGACGGTGACGCAAACAATTTAACGGATACCGGATCATCGAATGTATCCTCAAGGCTTGCCGACCCCGAGCTTGGATTGCTGCCAATGCGTGTCCAGCCCAAAATTTTTGTCAGTAAAACATCCAAAAAATGCATTTGGGATTGAACGACCTAGTCGAAAATAACCCATTAACAAGTGAGCATGTGAGGGCAAAACACGACAGGAGAAAATGTTTGAACTATGCATAGGAAACAATGCTAACCATTAAAATTGTCCGTAGTTTGGTCGACTTCCTAATGTGATAATGGGGTTTGGCAAGATATGTGACGCAGGGGATTTGTACGATGTGATGTCCATTTGGTGGCGCGAGAGCACATACACAACCAAAATTTTAGCTAATCAAAGATAAACGGGCTAATCGAACGAGACCAATAAAGAACTACACACGATATTAATAAATCAGTGCACGTTTCGTCTTCAAAATCTAGTGCTTTAGTGTTTCTGTGGTGTCGTTGGTCGTTTGGTGAAGTGTATTGAAAACGATTGAACAAAAGGCAAACAGGAGAGCGACAAGCAAGGCATGGAAGGAAAAGAAGTTTATTCAGGTCAAATATATCCCGTAGGATGCAGATATAAGATGTATTAGCGTTTGCCACCTAACAAAGCCGTACAATTGTAGCTGAATCACTAAAACGGTTCACAGTAAATAAGCTCCTACAGCAGATTGTGTAGAAAAAACACACGGGAAAATTAGCCCTCTCACAAGTCTTAATTCATGACAGACAAGCATCAGTTAGCCTTTTATCGCACCGCAACGAAAGAAATGTGAACTCTATCTTTAACCTTCAGCTCGATGGAGACTGATATTCCTGCAGTTGGTGCCATTTTCTCAACACAGTTAATTTATCCCACCCAAGTAAAGTCATCAACACAGACCATGACGGTAGGATTGTTTTCGCAATATCACATCCGACCAACAACAAGAACATCTAGATGTGAAAATTAGACGCCAAAACACGAAGTGAACGCTGCAAAGCACACAGTGCTGTGGCAGCCTGGATCCAGGAAGAAGACAAATAGCAGAATTTGTCTACTTCCCCAGTTAGGGTGAGGCTGGGTGCTGGATCAACCCCATCTTGTAGTAGCATTTTATACTTTGAAGGTGCAAAACGAATACCGAACATGGCAACACTAGCACTCAAACTATCCAGAAATGCTTGCAACTTACCTGGATCGTCACTTAGCAGCACAATGTCGTCTGCATCCACTAGATCAGACAGTCTGCTACCCGTAAGTAAATCGATACCGCTATCCCTGCACGAGGATAGGGCTGTTTCAAGAATTATATCTATAACAAAGTAGAATACAAAAGGAGGGGGCAACCCTGTCGAACACCACTTTCCGTGGTGAACTCGGGAGAAAAAGTACCGTAAGCCCGGACTCTACTCCGGCTATTAGTATAAAGCAATCGTAATATTGAAATAAACTTCTCGGGCACACCTTTCAGAAAAAGGCAGCGCCAGAGTTCAGAGTGGTCGACTGAGTCGAAAGCCGCTTTTAGATCTAGGAAGACAGAGATGGTGGGTCTACGAAAAGAATGCCGGTGCTCCAGAATTTGGGGCAGAGTGAAGATATGATCGATACAACCTCGATCGGGTCTAAAACCGGCCTGGTTCTCACGCGTGCACCGTTCGCGTGCGGCAGACAATCGGC